CACGGGCCAGAGCCCCTCTGGTCTCCATCTCTTCTAGAGCCTCTGGTCTCGCGACTAGAGCCTCTGGTTCTTAACTAGACAGAACATATTGGGCCTAAGACCAGAGCTTCTACGACTTAACTAAAATCATTTCATTAAGGGCCAGAGCCCCTCTGGTCTCCATTTCTTCCAGAGCCTCTAGTCTCGCGACCAGAGCCTCTGGTTCCAAATCACATACATAAATTTAAGGGCCAAAGCTCCTCTGTGGCCTCATAACTTGATACAGAGCTCTACTGTCCTTCATAACTTGGTACAGGGTTCTCACAACTTGAAACAAAGCTCATGCAGAGCCTCTGACTAGCATAACTGGACACAGAGCTCTCATGCAGAGCTTCTAGCATGATACAAAGCTCTCATGCAGAGCTTCTAACATGATACAGAGCTCTCATGCAGAGCATCTAACATGATACAGAGCTCTCATGCAGAGCTTCTAACATGATACAGAGCTCTCATGCAGAGCTTCTAACATGATACAGAGCTCTCATGCAGAGCTTCTGTATACCATCTTCTAAGTGGTTTTTACAGTGATACAGTATGTTTATCATTTGAAATCTAAACCTTGAAATCGAACCTTAAAACACAAATTTGGACGCGAGCCTTCTAGGGTTCTATACAGGACCGATGGCATAGCTAAATCTTGTATCAATATAAAATTTGGGTCGAGTAATTACCTCTAAACGACGGGAAGCAGGGGGTTTCGTGCCTGGTCTGAACTCCGGTTCCTCCCTCTCTCAAGCTCGACGATTCCTTCTCCTTAAAAAAATAACTACTCTAGACCAGTACCCCTGATTTATACTCAAGCGGTTTGGCCTATTAGTTGACCAAATCGGCCAAATCCTGATTTTTAGGCTGCGAGACTGTCTTCTCCACAGCCTGCAACCATGCAGGTCGCAGTTTCCCCTTATGGGCCAGGYATCGCCTGCCCTCTCCTGCCTCTCCCAACGTCAACAGCTGGCCCTCCTTTAATAAGAGCCTTCAGCCGAGCCCAAAACCCGCAAGATTTAACTTATTCAAATTTGAATTTGATTTAATATATATATATATATATATAAATAAAATCGAAGTAATAAAATACATTATTTATTCCTCAAAATTTGGGTTTTACAAGGAGGAACACAGCTAATGGGCACAACAGCGATCTCTAAAGAAGACACGTTGGTGTGACTAGCTGCAACTGGAATGATTAAGGATTCATCTTCAGTTTCTGGGGCTTCAGTGTTGAGAGGAACACTGAAGGAAGCTTCAGGTTGTCCATATGAGAGAGCATCTAGTTTTGTAATTCATCTTCATCATTTAAGATGGATTTTGAATTAGCTGACTGAGATTCATCAACAGTGACATGGATAGTTTCTTCTATTGTCTGTTGATGTTTGTTGAATACTCTGAAGGCTTTGGCTACTAAAGAATATCCAAGAAAGATTTCTTCATCAGCTTTAGGATTGAACTTTTCTAGTTGATCATGGTTGTTGAGAATATAACACATGCAACCAAAGATATGTAGAAAGCTA